CTTCTTCTCACAGTCCTTTCAACCTGATTAAGACTTGCTCGGACCAGATGACCGTGATTTGCAGCAATCGTTCCCACCAAGGCGTTTTACTACAGCTCAGTTCAACCCTCAATTCCAGGATAGGAGAACTGTTGTGCGAGGAAGTGCGCTCCTCATTCAGTCTTAATCTGTTTTCCTATCGTCTCGTTTGCTCTGTCTGTATTGCCTGATCCTGGAATGTCGGTAGACTTCTGCCATTTATTCGTCTGCGAGCTGTCGCGATTTTTTGTGGAAAGTAAATTTCTGACCCCTTTATTGGAACGGGACGCGACAGTCAGTCCAATGTTGCTGGTACCCCCCCCAAAAAAAAAAAAGTCAACTTGAAGTGTTTTGATGTCTTCGTACTTCTTTGAACTCGTTCCCTTTTTTCCCCCAGATTGGATTGTGTATTTGGTGAAGCTTCTAGAATTAATATGTCTTTATCAGTCTTGCTCGCGCAGAGGTACAACAGTCAACATTTTTTAATTTTTAAAGGAAAAGAATATTAACAAGAATACATGAAACAATAGACTTGCTTTCACTATCAGACCACAAATGTCTACCAGTATTTTGAAGACATTTGGCCGTTGCTGTGCTGACTTAGATTTCAACAAGATAAGATGGCCATAAATTGCTTCCATGCTAGTTGCGAAATACTATTTTTTTTAGGGTAGGGGGGGGTGGGGGTGGATCTGTTTTTTTTTACTAAATGGGTTTTTTGTGTCTTTGTGCTTCTCTTTTCTCAAATAAACAAAGAGTAACCTCGGAACATACACGCACCCCCCAATCCCAATTGAAAAAAATCCCCTTCAACAACCCCCCCCCTAAAAAAAAGAAAGAAAAGAAAATTAATCGAGACCAATATAAGTGTCTCTTTGGGACCTGTAGTTGTGTGTGTGTGTGTGTGTGGGCGCGCGTGTGAACGTGCGTGTGCGTGCGCGTGCGTTCGTGTGTGTGCGTTCGTGTACGTATGTGTTTCGTGTCTGGCGTCTCACCTTGGTCTCCTTGGTGACGGGGTTGAGGAAGGGCACGTAGCGGACGTAGACGATGAGCGGCGTGGAGAGCGCCACCGTGAGCAGAAGGATGGCCGCCACCGTGGCGATGGCCTGCCGGTTGTTCATGCGCTTCTTGAAGGGGTACACGATCAGCATGTACCGGTCCACGGCGATCATCAGGATGGCCAGCGAGGAGGAGAATAAAGGCACTCCGAAGGTGGGCATGGCGACGTAGCACAGCACGCGACCGAAGATCCAGTCGTTTCTGTTGAGGTGAAGTTTTAGTTTTAGTAAGTGTTTAGCTAGCGGCACTTGCAACACAGTAAGGTCATATAAGTGCCGAAGATTATATGTGTTACAAGAGAGTAACAAACACAGAAAAAGAAGGAGGGGAGAAAAGGGCGATATATGTTTTATAGGAAAGAAGAAGCAAACCACACCAGAGCACCCGCCAACCACCCACTCTGTTGAGGTGAAGTTGTGGGGATGGGTAGGGGGGGGTGGATGAGGATTGTTGGTGAGAGTATTGCTAGATTGAATGGTTTGAGTTATTGCTAAGAGAGATACAAATAAAGCTGGTATTGTAGACGATGAAATTTTCTAGCTGTTCTGAAGGGGAAGCGGTGGATGTAGTTTTTGTGTGTGGATGGATGGATGAGAAGGATTGTAGGTGGTAAAGGGCATGGTTAAATTAAATGGGTCGAGTGATTGCAAAACGAGATACAAGAGCTAGTAATGTAGGCAATGCGAGAGTTTAGGGACGTCTGTGGATGAGTAGGGGTTTGGTAGGGGATGAATCTTGGATGAGTTTTACCTGACAAGTTGCAAAGTCATTTTTATGTTCATTCATGTAATGATCTCGGAATAAGTGCTTTTACTAAAAAGGTAGGAACGGTAGAAGTCAAGAAAAAAGGGCTTTGTTTAATTAGATTGTTTGAGTTCAAACCAAGATGCGAATTAACTAATATTGTAGACAATACGAGTCCATCTCTGATAAGAGTGGAGGTCAGTGATCAACGAGATTCGATTCTTATCTCTAGGGTTGAGAAGGGTAAAATATGATGGTTGTGGTGCAATAGAAACAACACCAACAATTTTGACAATAGTGATGATAGTACTGTTACGAAGAGTAATAACAGCATATAAGTGGTATAATATAGTAATGATACAAATTTATTCTAAAAATTGTGTCGCTTGTAGGGTGCTAAGTTAAGGCGCGAAAAAGTCTTAAGGCTCGACTCTGGAGGAGCTATTGATTTGATCTTATTTTTTTTTTATCTTAGACTATCACAGCGGAGGGCTTACCCCAGAAGAAAATTCAGGTATCGATATATCTTAAAATTTCATCTCGATAGCTCCTCCCGGGTGCTCCTGAAGTCTTTGTATTATGGCCCTTGTATGTGTGTGTGTGTGTGTGTG